CGCACTTCCGCCACGCCCCTTACACGTCATCATTATAGCCCCGCCCCTTCCCAAAGGCTCCGCCCACCCCCGCCGCTCTTAAAGGCGCCGCGCTGCGTCACGGAACACGCGGGACGGGAGCGGCGTTTGGCGGCACCGGCGTTTATTGGGGAACAACCGACTTGGACTGGGGAAACTGGGGATCCCGGACGGGTACGGCCCGGGCTGCCCGGTACCGTGAACAGGGCTATGGTGCCGGTACCGTGAACAGGGCCATGGTGCCGGTACCGGGAGTACGGTGCCGGTACCGTGAACAGCGCCATGGTGCCGGTACCGAGAGCGCGGTGCCGGTACCCGCGTCTGTATGGGGGACTTCAGTGCCAGAACAGAGGATGCCGGTACCAGTACTGGGAGCCTGGTGCCGGTACCGGCGTCTGCAGTGCCGGTATGGGGGATTTCGGTGCCAGAACGAGGGTTGCCGGTACCAGTACTGCAGCGTGGTGCCTGTACTGGGGCCGCTGGTGCTGATACTGGTTCCGGTACCGGGGTTGTAGTGCCGGTACCAGAGATGCTCCTCTTACTTCGCCTTCTGCAGTAACTCCGCCAGGTTCAGGGGTGTTTTGATGCCTGCGGGGACACGGGTGGCGTTAGTGCCCGTCCCTGGGGCAGTGCCCGGTGTCCCGGGGCTCTGCCCGGTCACCCTCCCGTTCCCTCCCTGTCCCGCTGAGCACGGGGGTGACAGCCAGCCCTGCCCTCCCCACACCCCGGGGGGCTCCGGGGGGACCCCCAGGTCGGCAGCAGCGCTGAGGGGCACGTGGGCAACAAGGGATGGAGACAGGGATGGACACACGCACGGACACACGGACGGGGTCTGGCTACAGAGAAGCGGGAGGGAAACGCCTGCTCTACCCACGCCACGGGAGAAAGGGCCGGGTGTGCGGGAGCCGCGCCGGTGCCCGCGGGAGCAGAGAGGTTCGGGCGGTGCCACGGTGGGCACGGGACCCGGCGGGCGCCTGGCACGTCCCGGCCCCGTCCCCGGGCGGCCGGGGGGCAGCGGGAGCCGCGGCTCGTTACATACGGGCAGGCTGGGCTGCGGGGCCACCTCGCCCGCCAGCCGGGCTCTGCTGTTGGCCAGAGTCCGCAGGACTGGACCGTGCAGCGCAGAGAGGAGAGAGAGGTTAGAGAGAGGAGACCGTGCCCGTCCCGGGGCTCCTGTCCCGGGGGCTCCCGTCCCGGGGCTCCTGTCCCGGGGCTGCAGCAGCACAGCCCATGGGCACGGAGAAATAATCACTTCCAATTAAACCGAGCTGCCCACGCCCCTGCACTATAAAAACCGGGACACGGAGCAGGATGGAGGGATGGGAGACCTGAGCTACCTTCTCGGGTGACAGTGGAGGCCGCATCCAGGGCCTTGGTGCCGATGTCACCCATCATGTTGTCCACGGTGCTGTGGTGCTTGAGGAAGAAGGGCCGGATGATGCTGTGGTAGATGACCTGGGAGCCGTTCCAGGGCACTGGGGCCATGCACCACACCAGGAACATGCACTGCGGGGACAGGGAGGGGCTCAGCTGCTCCAGGGCTCCCCAGCTGAGTCCAACAGCACTGCCCAAGGCTGGAGCTCACGGGAAGCCGCAGGATCGGAGCTGGGTGCAGCCCCACCACCGCCCTGCTCCTGGTCAGAGCCCACCACACTCAGCTCCTCCCTGTTCAGCGCCGGGACGGGAGGAGCCCGGCACAGCCCTTACCTTCCCGGCGTAGTAGAAAGGGAACCAGTAGAGGAAAAGGTCGGAGAAGAACTCGGCGACGCTGAAGACGCCGTAGACCACCCAGTAGGTGAGCCACATGGTGTCATCCTCCTTGCTGTTGCTCTCGATGGCTTTGATGCTACAGCGGGACAGGGGAAGGAAGGACACGGCTGCTGCAGTGCTGGGATGGGCTCCACCTTCCCAAATCCTCCAAACCCTGGGGGGAACCTGCCCGCTGGCTGCTCCGGGCTGGCACGGTCCCAGCGTTTCCAAGAAGGTCTCAAGAGCTTCCCAGCCATAATTGCCTCTTCACTGAGCAGGCAGACCCTCAAAGGAGGGCAGGGAAGGCTCTCCAGGTGTGGGACAGGTACTTACGAGACATAGGCGGGGTAGACGAAGCCGATGATGTTGCAGAGCAGGGAAGCGCCATAGCCGAACATGAGGTACAGCCCCAGGAAAGCCACGGAACCTGCGGGGCACAGAGGAGAGGACGGTCTGGTGCGTGCTGTCACCATGGGGAGACCCCGCTCGGTCTCCTGAGCGGGATTCTCATCCCAGAGCGGGTTAATGACCACTCCCAATTAATTCCAGGACGCCGATGTAACGAGGCACGTGGCGGAGTCTCTCCCGAGGGACCCGTGACCTGCTCCTGTCACCGTTCGTCCCCTCTCCTGGCAGGTTTGGGACTTTAGCACCCCAATCTCGCAGCACTTTCGCTCTCCTGGAGCGGGGCCAGGGCAGCAGGAACCAGAGACGCTGACAACACACCCATGGTCCAAAGTCAAGGCTCCGCTCGCCTCCCCCGGAGCCGCTCGGCATTCCCAGATCTCCCGCTCAAGGACGAGCTCTGCTCCCGGATCAGGAGCCCGGGATCGCGGATCCTCCCGCAGGCGCTGCCCGAGCAGCCGCCGGCAAAGGAAGGGTTTGGATCCCCTGGGAGCGGCAATCCAATCCCGCTTCCCTGCTACTCAATTAGATCGTTAAATTAAATGTGAGCCGCAGGCTTTGGTGGCCTGGAGCCCGCCCAGCGCTCGGACACTCGCAGGAGGCTGGAGCAGCGGAGCTGGGACAGAGGGGGCGTGGGGAAGGTGGGACAGGGAGATTTTGGGATGGAAACCACGGCAGAG